GTTCTCTTCCTCTTTAGGAGCAAACACTGGCTTAGACTCTAAAATCTTTTTACCCAATTTACCTTGAACTTCAACTATCTTAGACTCATAATATTCATAGTCGTCTGCTTTCTTTGGTTCATAAGGTATAACAAGTTTGTATGCTTTGCCTTCTTTAAGGTTTGAAACCTTCTGTCAAAACTTTCTTTGACTGCTAACAAACCTTCTATGTCTAAGTCTTCAAATTTCGCACCATTTTTAGTCACAATAGCAAACTTAACTGGTTCGATGTTCCAAACTTTTGTCAAAATGTAGACTTTTCAAAATGGTAGAAGTAAACATTCAAATAAGCGAATGGGTTAGTTCTTCTTTGACTTCTGTCATGTACTTATTTACTGAGATGAATTTCGTCATCTTTCTATCGGATAAAAAAAGATTTTTTTTTAAATTTACTCAGAAAAATTTTTCTTTGTATATACGCCGTTCTGAACATCTAAAAGATTTTGACATTTGCCAAAATGTACGTTTAGACGCTGCCATATAACCATATTCTTGACAATACTGTTTATATGAATCGTACAATGACCTTTCATCTAAACACTCAAGTAGTCTCATCTATAACAGTTCATATACACTCTTGTTTGCTTCTAACAATGTTTGTCTTCTTCGGTATGTGGAATTTGTCTTGGATTGAACTTAGAAATATCTAATGTCATGAAATATGAGAACAAGTGGTTGTAAAAGTCAGATGTCAAACATTCTGACAAAGCGTCAAAATATTCTGTATCTTGCATACGAGAATCTGACGTTCTGACAACTACATATCTTCTGTCAGAACTTTCTAACTTCATCGGAACAGCATTGTTTGAAACCATAATGAAGTTTGCAACATTTTCAACAACTCTTTGGTCTTTATATTTTCTTTCAACAACTCCAACTTTGTCTGTTATAAGACTCTTCAAAGCATCTGAGTTCAAAACTTTTGTTGTATCTATACTTTGAAGTTCGCAAACTATAGTTTCATATTCTCTATTGAGAGTTAAATTTGCCACAGATGTTTTCTGTTTGTCATATTCGGTTCGAATAGCCCTCTAACAGTTTGCACAAATATCTGTAAAGAAAGTATTCTTACCTTCCTTGTTTTCCAATTATAATGAGAGCAGTTTCATTTTTAGCACTTGGATGTTGTAAGATGTTTGCAAACCAACATAAGATATACTCATAGACTCTTTCGTTTCCATTGCATATAATTTCTTTGACATGGTCTAACCAAGCTTCTATAATATTTTCTTTCCATTCTACTTGTTCGTATTTATATCCAGTGAAGATAGAATAGAAGTTTGGAGAAGGTGTATAGAACTTTATACCACGAACTGAAAAATCTTCTAACTTTGACAATAAGATATCCCAAGCATCTAACATCTTCATGCCAACTTGTACGACTTTTATTTTCTTAAGTTTCTGTCTACATTCTTGTTCTGAAACTATTGTTGCTCTTGGTTTGTTAAAGACAACATCCCATTCTTTCATGACATAACATTCTGGGGCAGAGTCGACATAAATGACTAAACGTTTCAAATTCTCGACTGCTTTTTATAGTCTCTAAATGGACACATATTTCTGAACGCTTGGAAGTCATAAAAATCTGAAACATCTATTCTGTACATTTTTATAAATAAAAAAAAATATTTTTTTTTATTCTTGACTTTGTTGTTGCATTTGTTGCATTTGTTGTTTTGAGCTATTTGTTGTTGAAGTTGTTCTTGTAATACAATACTTTCACCAGTTGCATCTTCCAATTCGAAACTTTCTGCCGTCATTGACAAATACATAGGACATAAAAGTTTTACAGGAACAAAGTTTGCGTCAACTAATGTCAACGTTATACTTGCCAAAGTGTTTGAGTTCACTAAGGTTGAAAATTCTGCATTCGAATGAACAATAGGCAAACCAGCAGAGAAAGTATTGTTTATACGCATAAGTATCTTTTGGTCATAATAGTTTCTGTCGACATTCGAATAACACTTTGAACCTAAGTTTGAAACAATATATAAAGATTGGTGTGCTTAAATGTCAATGGAATAGACATTCCTTGTATGACACCTTTTCCTGTTATAGGAAACTGTTGGTAGTAAAAACCAGAATAAGTTTTGTATTATAGCTCATATCGTTTATAGTAAACTCAGTCGGACATCCAAACATAATGAAACCTGCTCTAGTTGCAGCACATGTTACACCCGTACTTAAAGTATTAAATAAGTCAACAAAACCTGTTGGTGGTATATCTGAGTAAGTATCTTCAAAGGAGTATTTTTTACCATTCAAACAATAAAGTCTTCTGGTGTCAAAGAGCAAAACAGGCTTTAGTCGTCATTGTGTTTAAAGTTAGTTTACAATACCGTCCTTGAGGACTTTGTAAGTTTGTTGTTATAGAATTATATGACTCAGGGTTTTTAGTCGTAATAGTATAAACCATTATATCTTCTGCCATTTACTTAGCAAATAAATTTTAATGAAATGTTGTGGTCGTCAAATATTTTATGACGTCTGGGAAACTATATTTTAAGTTCAACGTTTCACCTCCTTTCATAACGTATATCTTGTCAATGACATTATATGAAACACCACAGCAAGCAATGTCGGGTTCTATTTCTTTTATGTTTATATCGTCTGCCTCTGTCAAAAGTTTCAATAGTTCTTTCAAAATTTCATGAGGTGCGATGACATATGAGTTCACTTTTACAGGGTTGTGCTCAACCAAGTTTAACATTATACCAAAGCCTGACAAATCTTCTCCTGAGTTTTAAGTTTGTCTTTAAGTTGTTGGTAGTCGTTTCGAATATCTGCAACAGAACTTAATCTCTGCTAACTTCAGGGTATGTTGGTTCTTTTACAGGAACTATTGTTATACCATCTTCGTCTTCGTATGGTTTCCCCACTTCAACATCTCTGTCTTTGACATTGACAACAACACTTTGACTGTTTGTTTGAGTTGGTGAATTTAACTTCACATCTGCCATCGCCATTAAACCTTTTGAAACACTTACGCTTCTATTTTTCGGAAATGACATTTTACTTAGAATAAAAAGGGACGTATTTTCTGAATTGAAGCAAAAAAAGTTTACACACACAAACATACAAGTTCATTGACAGAGTAGTTCTTTACACAAACAATGGAAAATGTTATAGAATAGCAATATTTGCTGAACCAAAATATTTCATAAAGCAAAGAAAGTATAACCGAGATGGTGAAAGTTCTTGAAGCAGACAAAAATATAACAACAAAACTGACCGATATTTCTAAAGGTAAGTTTATAATACAATTTATGTCAAAACTGGCGTACTGTCAATATTTGACGGAGAGAAGTCAGTTCAAGAACAACTTACTGACCTGCTGCCAAAATCTGCTCGATGGAAGCTGTCGTTATGCCAATCTGAGGAGCCCCAGCAGGTTTCATCGAACGAATCTTCAAAAGAGCATCTTCCGTGAAAAGTGCTATTGGTTTTGTAAACTTCTTTGCTCTCAGTTCATCTGGACCGTCTCTGTCACCAGTATATTGTATTTGAACTGTACCAACAGTTGAAATACCACCCATAAAGTCTTCTGAGTCAGCAAATGGAATGCCAAGCCAAAAGTTTGAACGGTCTCCATTTGTATATTGAGTTTTTTGACCTCCTGTATGAGTCCATACTTTCACATATGGCATAATAGAACTTTGCATTTCAGGGTTAATGGTTGTTGTGAAGTTGTTGTTAAAGTTCATAGCATCTAATGTCAAGTTGTATGACCTCATATCCTCAACTGTAGAATATTCTTCTCTTGGATAATATTTGCCATCTATGTTTATATGATATTTAATACCGGGGTTGTAGAAACAAGAATAGTCATTTATAGTTCGTCTGAACAGTACAAACATAGTATCTGCATGTTTCATTGCAGTTGTTAAAGCAATATCTGTTCTTGCACCTGGGTCAGCACTTTGGTTTCCAACTTCACCTGCAAAGTCTTTGACAGATATTTGGTGTATAGGGAACATAAGTGGAACTGCAATATATTTGGCAGCTAAAGCATTTGAAATATCTGGGTCCAACATATAGACTGCAAGTCTGCTTTCTATTCTCTTGCATTCAAATTTTTCGCATGTGAACTTAACTGGGTCCCAAGCATCTCCAGCAGCATTGAAAAATAGTTTACTTCAGTGTTGAGGTTTGAGAAACCAAAGTCTAAGTCAACTTTGTTTTTGCAAAAGTCGGCGAATGACATTTTATTTGTTCCACTACTTCTGTAAGAGTGAATGGGTCTTGTGTTGGTGCAATGACTAAGTTATTTTTGCTTGGAGTAAGTTCGATAGAAATTTTTCCTGCCCAGTTTGGCAAGTATCTTAAAAACCTGAAGATGAGGAAAGATGACAAAGGAACTCTAAGTTTCAGTTTTACTTTGGTTACTGCTGCTGCAGTTTGTCCAGAAAGGTTAACATAAACTCCTGGAACGTTAGGGTCAAGTCTTCTTATTTTCTCAATAGTTGCATATTGGTCTGTTTGTTCTCTAGCTTGTGGTTGTACTGAGTTTCTCAAAGCGAACCATTCATAGTTTGCCCATGTTACTGTTTGAACTAAGTCAGAGTTAGAATATATCTTATATCCCATGAAAACTTCTGGAGCATATTGGTATCCGACATAGAAAATTCCATTGCAACCTTTCTTGTCAGACAACTTGGCAGAAGGTTTTATTTCAATGTCTTGTTCCACGTATAAGAAAGAGTTGTCAATAGAAATAATATGAAACCTGTCGCAAGCAATATCTACTGTTGTTGAAGAACCTTCTCCAAACTCACCTACGTTTCCATAAGAAACAGCAGTTGTATATTCGTAAGTTCCAGGAACTATTTCTGACCTTCTAATGGCATTGTCGCATTCGTTATACCATTCGGAAACATTTCCATTCATGGCATCCAAAACTGTTGGCGTTATATTCTGAGCGGCGTACATTTCATATGAGTAAAAATATAGAATAGTTGGATTTATATGTCATAATAGAACCCACTCCGACCAAGCTTTACTTTCTTCCTGACTGAGTTTTTAACTCTTCTTTTTCCTTCATTGCCCTCTGCTTGAAGTTGTTGCATCTTTGCATTATGTTCATCTAGTATGTTGCAAATTTCCCATGTCCTTTTTGCCTTTTGGCTCTGGTCGCCCATCTCAGGTAACCTATATCCTAGAAAGATTTTGTCATAGTTTGTATTTGAGTCTTCGCGTATTGTTTGCATGACTCTTTCCTGAGTTTCCGGTTCAAGCTCTTCAAACAGTGCCTGTCCATATGGAATATGCTCGTTTCCAAATATATGTTTTTGTAGCCATTCTGGTTTTCTTTCCATGTTACCAACTATATCTTTTGTGAATGGAAAAGCTTTTACCCAATGTTTCAGTCTTGCGTCGTTTATTTCTGTAGTTGGTTTTATTTTGTCAAGGAACATGTTTTTCAATACTAACATTTCATTTGGTACTGTCCATTTGAGTTTTCTTAAATATTCATCCCTTCTCGGTTCATTGTCTGCAAAGTAAGTTTTTATGACATTTTGTAAACTTTCGTTTGCAAGGTCATGTACAATAGGTTCTCTTCCTTCTCTGTCCATAACTTTCTTTCTAAACTCTTCACCAAATATACCATCTCTATGGTTCTGTGTAGTTCTTTGAGATAAATGTTCTAGAACGTCAGGTGTTATATTTCCATCAGCCATGTTCATTTCATACTGGTCCAAAATATCTGCATGTTTCATATCTTTCAATGGCATTAAAGCCGCGCTTAAAATACCAGCTATATCTGGTTCACCATTGACTTCCATTGCGTCTACAACTTCTTGGAATTGAGGTTGTAAGTTTATGAACCACCTATCCGGGTTAGCTTTATGACCCCATCTCATTGTAGTTCCATCGTCTGCAGAAACAAAAGTAGGTTTGTTTCCATCTTGGTTAGGTTCTGAATGAACTTTAAACAATGTTTCATTTCTATATGTTTTCTTGAAATTTAACCTTTTATCTTCACCGAGTTCATCCGAAGATTGAACGTTAAATGCTCGTAAGTAAAAAGGGTTGTTGTATTTGTGTACATTTTTTTCAGTTCTTCCATTCTATGCTGAATATTTTCATCTGGTGCTGGAGTCTTTTGTATGTCGGCAAACATTTTTCGATATTCTTCTACTATGTCAGCCGAATTTTTTTAGACTCTTGGAAATATTCCATATTCTCCGCATACTCTTGTTGAGGGTCAAGATTTTTCGGCTGTTCCAAATCTTCATCTAGTTCTGTGAAGTTAGTTTCCAAAGGAGTGACTTGTTCGTTTCCTTCAGGCTCTTCTAGCTGTTGTTGCTGAACTATTTCTTCCATGTCTGGTTGTATCTGAACTATTTCTTCCTGTGGAGTTTCTTGTACCTCATCTGCTGGCATTTCATATATTCCGAGACCGTTTTTAACAATTTCCCTATCTACGTCATCCGCATTCATAAGCTTTTGTTCTTTCGTTCCGTCTCTATTTTTTACGCGTTTCATGACGAAAGTTGAATTGTCATTTAGCTCTGACATCAAATATCTCGGAGTAAATTCATCCATGTCATTTGGATGATATGCTATTAAATCATATCCCTTAGCGAGCTTGTATTTTCCAGGTTTGAGATTATATCCGTTTTGGTGCTGAGCCATAAAGCTAAATAGGTTCGGGTCAGTATTTCCATCCTTGAACTTTCCAATAGCTTCTTTATATCTGTCACTAAAGTCAACAGTATCTGGGAAACCACACTCTTCTTTAAGCATTTTTAAGAATTCTTGGTTTCCTTGTTCTCTACTTCTTTTATGTCCTTGCTCTGTTTGTGGTTGTTGTTGTGCAGGGTTTTGAACTGTTGGTTGCTGTGCTGGTTGTTGTGTTGGTTGTTGTGCGTTGTGGAGGTGGTTGTTGTGCTGGTTGTTGTGCATGCCTGTGTCTGTGTCCATGTGACGATGTAAATGTTCTAGGTAGTCCTGGTGCAGGTGCTTCTCTTGGAGGGTTTGGTGGTATATAAGTTCCACCAGCTGGCACATATGTTCCATCTGCAGCGTAATGTCCTACCTGACTTTTCGTTTTTAAGAAAGCATTTACTAGGTCTGTTTTGGTCTGTTGTAACTCTTTTTCTTGACTTTCCACAACAGTTGCTCTAACGGCGTCATAGGCACTTTGAACTGCCTGTCTCGTTGCTGCATCTGTTATTTTCGTCATATTTTGTGCTACTTCTTTTAACTCTTTGTCGAAACCTTCAGACTTCAGTTTCTTTCCAGATGAGAAGTCGTTCACTAGTTTCACCTTACTATGAAGAGCTTCGAAGGCGTTCTTAAAGTCAGCATTCATTAAAGCTTCATTTGAACTGTCTTCATCCGCTTGTATTTTTGTCCTTATTGACCCTATAAGTTGGGCTGCTTTAGCGTTGGCTTGGGCATCTAACCAGTCATTATTAGCTTTTATATATTCTGCGCTTTTCATTGCCTTTTGCATGGCTGCGTCGTTATTTTTACTTTCTTGTGCTAAGTTTTCATACTGTACGGTTTGGTTTTGCAACTGTAAAAGTTTTTCTGCCTTTACATTTGCTTCAACTTCTTTTTTATACTCATCGCTATCCATATATGTCTTCAGGGCTTTTTGTTTTATCTCTTCATCTTTCAGTACTTTATATTGAGTAGTATGGTTTTTCAAATTTATAACATCTTGTTCCATTTTTGCTACTTCTGCTGCTTTTTCTGACACTTTTTTCGCATATTCCTCTGTACTTAGTTCTTTCAGTTGTTCTTCTTTCTTCTTTTTCTCTACGTTTAACTCATTGAGTTTCTTTGTGTGTCTGTCATATTCTAGTTTCTTTTCGTTTTCACTTATTTGTTTCTGTATGTCTATGTTTGACTTTTTGACATCTGTTATTTGATTTTTGAGTGAACTCAAATTCATTTGACTTTGAGGGTTATAAGCTGTTCCGTCTGCAGCTCCACCATAGCCTGCCATTTTCGCTAAAAGTGCCGCTCTTAAACCTCCACTCTGTGCACCAATAACTCGGTTTAAAAGCATAGGTTGCTTGACATTTGTTGCAACATAGTGGGGTCATTCAGCATTTGTTGTTGCAACTGTTGTTGTGGTGTCAGTTTTACTATTGGATGTTTCAATGCTCTCTTCCTCTTACGTATATTCTTACGTAGCTTACGTGGCATTTTAAGTGAAGTTAAAAAGCGGTTTTTGACAGATGTTTATATGACACTTTTTGTTCAGCACAAAAAACTACTCGGTCAAAGTGTTGTCAGTTTTGTAAAATAACCGTCCTATCTCATTCTATAAGGGGAAAAGGCTTCTCAAAGTATACTTCCTTGGAACGCCTGTAACTTTTCCTGTAGCGACGATAGACCCTTACTTGTCCGGACAAAGTTATACTATTTTGAGTGCTCTACAAAAAAGTCAACGGCGACGACTCTCAAAAACCGTTGTGTAAAAAGTTTTACCGTTGGACAAAAAAGTATATATAGAAAACAAAAAACGTTTATAGTTCATTCAATATTTGAGATGGAACGGTTTGCCAACGGTAACTATTAAATAAAATAAAAAAATAGGGGGTCTCCGTTGGTAAAAACCGTTTATTTTAAACTTTTCTATGAGTAGTCCGAAAAAAACAGTTTATTTTTCATAATGGAAGGAAAAAGTGTCGCAAACAATTCGTCGACTACCTCTGCAGTTAAAGTTCCTACAACTTATGTCTCACCATTCTCAAAACCCTTACGACCTCCTATAATACCAAAGCAACTTCCTCATACAATTGCAAACAATTCGTCGACTACCTCTGCAGTTAAAGTTCCTACAACTTATGTCTCACCATTCTCAAAACCCTTACAACCTCCTATAATACCAAAGCAACTTCCTCATACAATTGCAAACAATTCGTCGACTACCTCTGCAGTTAAAGTTCCTACAACTTATGTCTCACCATTCTCAAAACCCTTACAACCTCCTATAATACCAAAGCAACTTCCTCATACAATTGCAAACAATTCGTCGACTACCTCTGCAGTTAAAGTTCCTACAACTTATGTCTCACCATTCTCAAAACCCTTACAACCTCCTATAATACCAAAGCAACTTCCTCATACAATTGCAAACAAATTGTCCAACAATTTGAGTTCTTCTTCTCAAAACACAACAGATACAGTTGTCCAAACAGCACCAGAACAAGTTTCACATAGTTCTACAATTCAAGACAAATTGTCCAACAATTTGAGTTCTTCTTCTTCTCAAAACACAACAGAAACATCTGAAACAGATTTACAACCAGCACCAGAACAAGTTTCACATAGTTCTACAAGTATGTTAACAAGAGCACAATTTCAAGATTTAATTTCTCTTGAACAATATTCGAGTAACGAAACACAAAGCGACGACTGTAACCTCTCGCTACCCGAATCCATTCAAAGAAAATACGCCATGAAAAGACTGAAATTGTTGTATAAACTTCTTAACAATTGGGGAGTCGAAGACAACTCAGATTATAGTGAAATGTTTAACAAAGTCATAGAATCTGTTAAACCAATTGAAAACGACATAAAAAATCCCGGTGTTCTTGTAGACCTTTTCGCCTCAAAATTACCAGTTACAACCAATCTAATAGCAACACAAGCTATAGAGCAATTTATTTTATGTTTTCCCAAGCAATATAGACAACACCTGAGGGAAACAAGAATAGGAAAATTTCAATTGGTGTATCCTACAACATACAACTATTACGAAGAAGCAAATGAATATGGAGAACTCTCATTCCATTTCACACTTTCAGTTCCTGAGGGAGAAGAAAAAGCAATCTATCATGTACAATCTCTTGCAGGATGTGAAGGAAAACCTCACATCATAACTACTGTTGCAATTGACAAACCTGCAAGAGTCGAAGACGATGTTTTGTTCGCGTCCCATTGCTGGTTTTGGCATGGGAGAACCAATTCCAATTTCCCATTTCACAGAATACTCAGCACAACATTTTCAAATGTAGAATTCGTGTTCTACGACCATCAAAAGTTCCTGCTAACAAAACCAAAGAAACAATTTGTCTCAATATTTGTTGCTGGTCATGTGGCTGACAAAGAGCCATCAGATACTGACTATGAAGAAGAGGAGGAGGAAGAAGAAAACGATAGCGATGTCGTTCTTATCGAATAAAAACTTTAATTTCTTACTATATAATTTTTTAGTTCTCCTCTAGGTTTTTTAGGGGCTAGAAGGGGCGCAGCCCCTGGAAGCCCCACTACCTTTTTTTTTTTTTTTTTTTTTTTTTTTGCATGGGATAAAATATGCAATTATTCAATCAATTCGCATGATTTGAAAAAAAAAATCTAAATTTGATAAAAATGTAGAAATTTTTTATTTTTAACTTGAGATTCGATTTTTTTTGATCCAATTTGTGAATTTTTTTTTGATCGGAATTTCAATTAATTTGTTGATCAAAAATGACCTCACAATGTTTGATCATAAGTGAAGTCATCTTCATGGGTATTTAGAAATGAGGATGTTTTATTGTCGTCTGGAAAAAGTGACAAAATTATTATTGTCGTCTAAAAAGGTGATAAATTATTATTGTCGTCTGGAAAAGTGACAAAATTATCATTGTCGTCTAAAAAATAGATTTTTCAAGCATGTTTCGGTACCTAAATAAAGGAAGAACATCAATTCCATCTATGTATATAGTATGCAAACACGCATGATATATGGAGTAGCTCTTTATCTGGCTAAAAATCCTATTATTTGAAAATTCGCATTGTCGTCTAAAACCGCCAGACGACAATAATAATACCCCTTTAGAAATTCCAAGAGAAATTGCTTATTTTTCGCAGATGTAATATCTGAGAAAATCGAATTTAAATATTCATAGAAACCCAAATCATTCTCCGGTTCGAATAATTCATCTGTTGCTTTTTCTGTTTTTTCTATGAATTTTAATAATTTGATTAATAAATCTTCATCAGGAAGAATTATTGTTGCATTTGTGATAAAATTCCATATTGAGGTAATATGGCAATAATTACATTTATAAAATGTAATTTTATCCAAAATTTTTTGGCAAATTCGCATAATAGCATTAATATTTGAAGCTGAGATTAAACCTGTGATTACTTCTGTAACTTTTGGAAAATCATCGCAATTTAATATCTCTTTCTATTGAATTGAGAAATCAAAAAAATCAAATGGATTCATTTCTTCAATTTCAAGGAGATTGTAAAAATTGATAGAAGTGTTATTGCAACAAATTGTATTTGCAGCAAAAAATATCATTTGCTCGATTCCATTTTTGGAATAAATTTGCTGGAACAATGTTAAATTAAAACAGTTGCTTAATTTTTCTTCATTGTTTTCATAAAAAAGTAACAAGTTTGCAACTGAAATTTCAAAATTTTGATAATTGTCAGTTATTTCAGTAAATATATATATTTGCTTTTCTTCATCTAAAAATGGCAAATATTGATTTGCAATATTAACTAAAGTTTGGGATAAATTGTTCCAGTTTGATTTTACAATTTGTGAGCATATTATGTAATATGTAAATTTATCCGCTTTGTAGGAATTTAAAATTGTGTTTGTTGTTCTGTTTCAGTTAAATTACTGAATTTTTCAAGATTAATATTTGATAAAAAATAGAATCCTTGAAAATTCTGATATCTTTTCAATGTTTAAAACGGATGCTAAAAATGTAAAAGAACTTCATCAGTCATTGTGATTTTTTTGAAAAATTTATCCCAATTCAAGCATCCAATTGATCTTTCTGTCATTGTACTTATGCATTGATAAAGTTGATTTAATGAATCCGAAGAATAATCATTATGCTTGACTAGTTGAGTTAGTTGATACAGACTGTCGTCAGCCATTTTAAAAAAATGAATAAAATTGTATAGTAAATTATATTTGTGAAATTTGTGACGCTACATTCAATCTAAGACCAATATCTCAAAGAATTCCTCATTTAAGTATTACTTTTCATTGTTTTTTAAAAAAATATCTTTGCTTATTTGTTCACTTTTTTGACATTTATTATATGCTTTTTATCATATTTCCGATGATATGAATATATTCTATATAAGAATGACGCTACATTCAATCTAAGACCAATATCTCAAAGAATTACTCATTTAAGTATTACTTTTCATTTTTAATTCAATTTTCGAACGGTTTTCGTAAATTTTGCATCATTTCATTTTTTAATGGGAAAATCATCTATATTTAATCAAAAAAGAGTGTTGTAAACAGAAATTCATCAAAAGTGACACCTCAGAAAAGCTAAAATATTGAATTTTTGGAACTTTTGATAGAGCACGTTTTTAAATATTAATTAAAGTAAATGTATATTTTGTAAAGATTCTTTTTAATAAAAAAATAAAATTTTGAAGAAGAACACAAAATCTTCTGAAAAATAATATCACATAAACTCATATTATTTTCTAATATATAACTATTTTATATAAAAATCAAATTCAATGATCTTAAAAGCGAAGGATAAACCTCAAAATTTACGAATATAATGAGTGGGAATATAATGCTTATCTATCATAAAACCATATGAAATATCAATTTTTGCTTTACGCCTAATTTTTGACGACAATTAGCAAAAAATGTTAAATGTTAACACTCAGTCCATTTGAATATGAAAAATAAAATTGACTTTGATTAAATGTTTTTATTTATCATGCAATTCTTCTTGCGACCAAAGATTTGAATAAAAGTTCAAAAAATAAGATAGCTTAAAAAATAATATACGGTAGTGTTTACTAATAGATGAATAGTATATAAATTCTATTAAAATGGATTTGATCCAAAAAAATATAAAACCAAAAATAATTGTTATAATTTAAATGAAGAAGTAATTTAAAACGATTTTATTTATGATCAAATTTATATATTTTTTTGGATCAAATCCATTTTAATAGAGTTTATATACTATTCATCTATTAGTAAACACTACCGTATATTATTTTAAGCTATCTTATTTTTTGAACTTTTATTCAAATCTTTGGTCGCAAGAAGAATTGCATGATAAATAAAAACATTTAATCAAAGTCAATTTTATTTTTCATATTCAAATGGACTGAGTGTTAACATTTAACATTTTTTGCTAATTGTCGTCAAAAATTAGGCGTAAAGCAAAAATTGATATTTCATATGGTTTTATGATAGATAAGCACTATATTCCCACTCATTATATTCGTAAATTTTGAGGTTTATCCTTCGCTTTTAAGATCATTGAATTTGATTTTTATATAAAATAGTTATATATTAGAAAATAATATGAGTTTATGTGATATTATTTTTCAGAAGATTTCATTATATATGCCTATGAAAAGTACTCTCAAAACTAACTTTTTCCTAATTATAATTAAATCTAGAATATTGTATTATGCTTAGTATTATTTCATTTTTCTCATTCAATTTAGAATTTACAAATGTCAAAAAATTGAGAGCTGTCACTTTTGATGAATTTCTGTTTATTACAACCCATGTAGTACGATTTGATTCCTGCCAGGCCATAAATATATTTTATTGAAATGAAATGATCTTACAATTAATGCACTTTTAACAACATATATTAATTTTAACCAAAAATATTTATTTCAATATTTACAAAATTGATAATATGCATTCAAATTGCAAAATCAAATTAAAACAACACATTAATATAAAAAAGAGAATAACTCTCATGAAACTTTTCTAATTGATTGAAAATACCAGTATTCAAAATCAATTTCAATAAAGAAATTTATTCATGATCAGTCTTTAACCATACACAAAACACATTTTATTTAAGACCGCCACTGATCATTCAATTTTTTTATTTATTTTATTTTTATAAAATGGGAGAAGGAAATCTCGTGTACATCTTACTTATGGTAATAGACTTTATCCTATTACTCATGTCCTTTATTAACGTAATCAATAACTCACCAGAACCAGAAAAAGCAGAAGAGAAACAAGAAGAGGAAGATGATGAACCAATTGTGGTAACCCGTGACATTGATCTTCCTGTTGATGGAGAAAACAATGAAGCTAATGAGAAATTACAAGAATTGATCGATGATCTTAAGAAGAAACTTGCTGATTCGGAGAAGAATCGCAAGGCCAATGAAGATAAGATCAAAGAACAGCAAGATCTCAACGATAAACTCGAAAAAGAGAACAATGATCTTAAAAACAAGAACTGCTGTGATGAGAAAGCATGTAATGAAAAGTTAGACCAACTTAGAAAGGAGATAGATGATCTTAAGAACAATAACAACAATAATGAGAAGGCATGCAATGATAAATTAGCAGAACTTCTCAAGGAAAACGAAGATCTTAAGAATAAGAATGAACAAGCTCAGAAAGATCTTGATAACCAAAAGGATGAAAACAATAGGCTTAATAAAGAAATAGAAGATTTAAAGAATGCCAATGGAGACAATGCAAAATTAGCCAACGATAATATTGATAGATTACACAAAGAGATTGAAGCACTTAAAAAGAAGAATGATGAAAATGAAAAGGCCCTTCAAGATAAGGATACAGAAAATGAAAGACTCGCCAAAGAAAATGCTGCCATTAGAGCCAGTTCCGATGAGCTTGATAGCGCACCAAGGGATCTCATTGACCAGTTAAAGACCGAAATCGATGAATTAAAGAACAAGCAAGATCAAAATGAGAAAGATCTGAAGGAAAAGGCAGAAGAAAACGAATTGCTCAACAAATTAAACAAAGATCTTAATAATGCTGCTTCAAATACAGACAAATCCAATAAGGATAGAATCAAAGAACTTGAAGATGAGATTAATGATCTTAAGAACAAGAACAATGATAACGAAAAGGCCCTCCAGGACAAGAATAGCGAAAATGAAAGACTTGCCAAGGAGAATGAAGATCTTAAGAACAAGAATGATGAAAATGAAAAAGCAATTCAGGACAAGAACAATGAAAACGAGAGACTCGCTAAGGAAAATGAAGACCTCAAGAACAATGCAGCTAATTCCGATAAGGCCAACCAAGATAGGATCAAACAGCTCGAAGAAGAGAATAATGATCTTAAGAACAAGAACAATGAGAAAGATAATGAAATACAGAACAAGAATGAAGAGAATGAGAAGCTTGCCAAAGAAATCGAAAATCTTAGAAACGCTGCAGGAGACTTGGATAAAATCGCCCAGGACAATGCAGAGTTAAAGAATAAGAATGATGAAAAGGCTAAGCAGCTTGAAGATGCAAACAACCAACTTAACGCAAAGAATGAAGAAAACAACAACCTTAACAATGAACTTAATAATCTCACGGCCAAGTTCAATGATGCACAAAACGACCTCAATGGTAAGAACGAAGAAAATGATAATCTCAAGAAGGAGATTGAAGAGCTTAAGAACAAGAATGCAGAACAAGATGAAGCACTTAAGAACAAGGACAACGAACTTAATGAAAAGAACAACAAACTTGCAGAACAAGATGAAGCACTTAAGAACAAGGATAATGAACTTAATGAAAAGAACGCAAAGATTGCTGAGCAAGAAGAAGCCCTTAAGAACAAGGATGAAGAACTCAAGAACAAGAACGAAGAAAACGATAACCTCAAGAAGGAAATTGAGGAGCTTAAGAACAAGAACAATGAACAAGAAGAAGCTCTTAAGGCTAAAGATGAAGAAATAAATGAAAAGAATGGAAAGATTGCCGAGCAAGAAGAAGCTCTTAAGGCTAAAGATGAAGAAATAAATGAAAAGAATGGAAAGATTGCCGAGCAAGAAGAAGCTCTTAAGGCTAAAGATGAAGAAATAAATGAAAAGAATGGAAAGATTGCCGAGCAAGAAGAAGCTCTTAAGGCTAAAGATGAAGAAATAAATGAAAAGAATGGAAAGATTGCCGAGCAAGAAGAAGCTCTTAAGGCTAAAGATGAAGAGCTCGAAGCACTTAAGACAAAGATCGCAGAGTTAGAAGACATTATCAAGCAAAAGGATGCTGAAATCGAAGAACTCAAGAGATTACTTGCTGAGAGAGATAATGCAAATCAATCTAACTCAGAGCAAAATGCTAAAGATCTCGAAGATCTCAAGAATAAGCTTAATGAAGCAGAGAAGGCCAAACAAGATGCACTCGACAAGTTAAACGATGAGTTCCAGAACGGTCAGAAGCTCGAAGAAGAGAATGGTGACCTCAAGAAACTCATCGACGAGCTCAATGATAAGCTTAAGAAGAAGGATGACAAGATTGCTCTCATGAAGAACCATCTTTCAGAACAAGAAAAGAGCCTCATTGATGCTGAAGAAAGAGCTGCAGCAGAACGTGCCGAAAAAGAACAATTAGCAGCAGCTAAGTCTCGCGAACTTGCAGATATTGAAGAAAGAGCTGAAGCAGCAGAAAGAGCTGCTAAAGAAGCTGAAGAAAAGGCTGAACAAGAGAGATTGGCAAGAGAAAGAGAAATTGATGACATTGCCGCCAAAGCACAAAGAGAAGCAGAAGAAAAGATTTCTGCTGAAAAGAGAGAGCTCGAGGAAAGAGCCTTAGCAGCAGAAAGAGCCGCAAGAGAAGCCGAAGAGAAGTTGAATGCCGAAAAACAAGCATGGAACAATGCTGTTTCAACAGTTTCAACACAAATTACTGATCTTTCATTCGGTAAAATCAGAACAATCAACCAAATCGATCTCGACCAACTTATCTCTGTTCACGGCAAGTCAAGACCAATCGCTGTTTATGTTCTTTCCAGATCATCTCAGTTATCACACTCTGGTGCTTTCATTTATGATACACATAAGCTTCCAGATAACTCCCTTTACCTCTACGTTGGTGAGGACTGCCCAGCAGCATTAGAGCAGCTTGGTGAAAAGCTTCTTGCAGCATATTCAGCAGAATATCCAAAGGCAGAAGTCCACTACGTAAAGAGAGTCAGCACTGGTACTGAATTCCAGAGAATGATCAAAGTTATTGGTGGTCACGTTGGACAGATTCAGGCATCTGTTAAATCAGGTGATGAATTGTTCTTCGAAAACAACTTCTTCAAGATTAAATTCCATGTCGTTGTTTTCTCTGAAGGAAAAGTCATTACACCAAAGGTTACAAAGACTGTTTCACTTGATGTTCTCCCGCAGAAGGGTGCTGCAATCATTGACTGCTCTGATACGACTTTGTACTTATTCATGTCATCTGTTATGCCAGAAGATCCAATCGAAAAGGCTGATCATGATGCTGCAATTAAGTATATGTCAGAGGCTCCAGAGTATAGCAATAGAGATGTGACAATCTTCAATAGAGAGTGCATCCCACCAAACCTTAAGATCCTTCTTGGTGCCCAAATTTAAATTTAGTTTTAATTTTTGACGAGTAAATATTCACTATTTATCTTTATCAAAACGTTTTTTTAAATCATGATCTCCAAATATAGAAAATGCATTGCCTTAATTATCATTAATTGTCTTTTTAAGAAGCAATATCAGATTTTTTTCCAATGCAAAAGAGGAAAATGGAGAAACACCCCTAAATTTTGCAGAGGTCCAAGTATTACAAAGGAACTTCTTTTTTTCCACACTCTCTAATATAACCCAATGAAAAGGATAATAATGGATAAACAGTCCTTCAGATTGCAGTACTTTATTATAGAAAAGAGGTTAATCTTTTTCTTTCACATGATGTTAATACCGTTGAAAATGTATATAATATAAGTGCAGCTTATGACATTATCAAAACTTAAATCCTTGCAAATTTATGATATTCAATATTGGATCATTTAAAATACATCTATTGTTACATGTCTTATGCTAAATTATTTTATAAAATGGTCCAAATAACATGTTTTTATTCATAAGAGATCATTTATCACACCATTAATAGCAAATTTCAATTGTTTTTTATTATGAGTACATAAATAGTGCGATTTGAAATAGTAAGCACATTCCTGTATTTCCACACTATTATGTAAAAAAAAAAAAAGGTAATGGGGCTTCCAGGCACTTCGTGCCCTCTAGCCCCGAAGATGTTTAGTATAACTTTGTCCGGACAAGTAAGGGTCTATCGTCGCTACAGGAAAAGTTACAGGCGTTCCAAGGAAGTATACTTTGAGAAGCCTTTTCTCCCTTATAGAATGAGATAGGACGGTTATTTTACAAAACTGACAACACTTTGACCGAGTAGTTTTTTGTGCTGAACAAAAAGTGTCATATAAACATCTGTCAAAAACCGCTTTTTAACTTCACTTAAAATGCCACGTAAGCTACGTAAGAATATACGTAAGAGGAAGAGAGCATTGAAACATCCAATAGTAAAACTGACACCACAACAACAGTTGCAACAACAAATAATGAATGACCCCACTATGTTGCAACAAATGTCAAGCAACCCTATGCTCTTAAACCGAGTTCTTGGTGCACAGAATGGAGGTTTAAGAGCGGCACTTTTAGCGAAAATGACAGGCTATGGTGGAGCTGCAGACGGAACAGCTTATAACCCTCAAAGTCAAATGAATTTGAGTTCACTCAAAAATCAAATATCAGATGTCAAAAAGTCAAACATAGACATACAGAAGCAAATAAGTGAAAACGAAAAGAAACTAGAATATGACAGACACACAAAGAAACTAAATGAGTTAAACGTAGAGAAAAAGAAGAAAGAAGAACAACTGAAAGAACTAAGTACAGAGGAATATGCGAAAAAAGTGTCAGAAAAAGCAGCAGAAGTAGCAAAAATGGAACAAGATGTCATAAATTTGAAAAACCATACTACTCAATATAAAGTACTGAAAGATGAAGAGATAAAACAAAAAGCCCTGAAGACATATATGGATAGCGATGAGTATAAAAAAGAAGTTGAAGCAAATGTAAAGGCAGAAAAACTTTTACAGTTGCAAAACCAAACCGTACAGTATGAAAACTTAGCACAAGAAAGTAAAAATAACGACGCAGCCATGCAAAAGGCAATGAAAAGCGCAGAATATATAAAAGCTAACAATGACTGGTTAGATGCCCAAGCCAACGCTAAAGCAGCCCAGCTTATAGGGTCAATAAGGACAAAAATACAAGCGGATGAAGACAGTTCAAATGAAGCTTTAACAAATGCTGACTTTAAGAACGCCTTCGAAGCTCTTCATAGTAAGGTGAAACTAGTGAACGACTTCTCATCTGGAAAGAAACTGAAGTCTGAAGGTTTCGACAAAGAGTTAAGAGAAGTAGCACAAAATATGACGAAAATAACAGATGCAGCAACGAGACAGGCAGTTCAAAGTGCCTATGACGCCGTTAGAGCAACTGTTGTGGAAAGTCAAGAAAAAGAGTTACAACAGACCAAAACAGACCTAGTAAATGCTTTCTTAAAAACGAAAAGTCAGGTAGGACATTATGCTGCAGATGGAACATATGTGCCAGCTGGTGGAACTTATATACTAGCTAGTGGAACTTATATACCACCAAACCCTCCAAGAGAAGCACCTGCACCAGGACTACCTAGAACATTTACATCGTCACATGGACACAGACACAGGCATGCACCAAAACCAACACAACAACCAACAGTTCAAAACCCTGCACCACAACAACAACCACAACCAACAGTTCAAAACACTGCACCAAAACCAACACAACAACCAACAGTTCAAAACCCTGCACCACAACAACAACCACAACCAACAGTTCAAAACACTGCACCAAAACCAACACAACAACCAACAGTTCAAAACCCTGCACCACAACAACAACCACAACCAACAGTTCAAAACACTGCACCACAACCAACAGTTCAAAACACTGCACCACAACCAACAGTTCAAAACACTGCACAGCAACAACCACAAACAGAGCAAGGACATAAAAGAAGTAGAGAACAAGGAAACCAAGATTTCTTAAAAATGCTTAAAGAAGACTATGGTTACCCAGATACTCTTGACTTTAGTGACAGATATAAAGAAGCTATTAGAAAGTTCAAGGAAGGAAATACTGACCCGAACCTATTTAGCTTTATGGCTCAGCACCAAACGGGATATAATTTCAAACCTGGAAAATACAAGCTCGCTAAGGGATATGATTTAATAGCATATCATCCAAATGACATGACTGAACTTACTCCGAGATATTTGGTGTCAGAGATAAATGATAATTCAACTATCTTCATGAAACGCGTAAAAAATAAAGACGGAACGAAAGAAGAAAGGGTTATGAATGCGGATGACTTAAATAGGGAACTTGTTAAAAACGGTCTCGGAATATATGAAATGCCAGCAGATGAGGTACAAGAAACTCCACAGGAAGAAGTTCAGATACAACCAGACATGGAAGAAATAGTTCAGCAACAACAGCTAGAAGAGCCTGAAGGAAACGAACAAGTCCCTCCTTTGGAAACTAACTTCACAGAACTAGATGAAGATTTGGAACAGCCGAAAAATCTTGACCCTCAACAAGAGTATGAGGTGAATATGGAATCTTTCCAAGAGTCTAAGAAAAATTCGGCTGACATGGTAGAAGAATATCGAAAAATGTTTGCCGACATACAAAAGACTCCAACATCAGATGAAAATATTCAGCATAGAATGGAAGTACTGAAAGAAAATGTACACAAATACAACAACCCTTTTTACTTACGAGCATATAACGTTCAATCTTTGGATGAACTCGGTGAAAATAAAAGGTTAAATTTCAACAAAACATATAGAAATGAAACATTGTTTAAAGTTCATTCAGAACCTAACCAATATGGAAACAAACCTACTTTTGTTTCTGCAGACTATGGAACTACAATGAGATGGGGTCATAAAGCTAACCCGGATAGGTGGTTCATAAACTTACAACCACAATTCCAAGAAGTTGTAGACGCAATGGAAGTGAATGGTGAACCAGATTTAGCTGGTATTTTCAGCGCGGCTTTAATGCCATTGAAAGATATGAAACATGCAGATATTTTGGACCAGTATGAAATGAACATGGCTGAAGGAAATATAACACCTGACGTTCTAGAACATTTATCTCAAAGAACTACACAGAACCATAGAGATGGTATATTTGGTGAAGAGTTTAGAAAGAAAGTTAGGGATAGAGAAGGAAGAGAACCTATTGTACATGACCTTGCAAACGAAAGTTTACAAAATGTCATAAAAACTTACTTTGCAGACGATGAACTGAGAAGGGATGAATATTTAAGAAAACTCAAATGGACAGTACCAAATGAAATGTTAGTATTGAAAAACATGTTCCTTGACAAAATAAAACCAACTACAGAAATAAATGACGCAAGACTGAAAGATTGGGTAAAAGCTTTCCCATTCACAAAAGATATTGTTGGTAACATGGAAAGAAAACCAGAATGGCTACAAAAACATATATTTGGAAACGAGCTTATTCCATATGGACAAGCTCTGTTTGAAGAGCTTGAACCGGAAACTCAGGAAAGAGTCATGCAAACAATAAGCGAAGACTCAAATACAAACTATGACAAAATCTTTCTAGGATATAGGTTACCTGAGATGGGCGACCAGAGCCCAAAGGCAAAAAGGACATGGGAAATTTACAACATACTAGGTGAACATGAGGCAAAGATGCAACAACTTAAAGCAGAGGGCAAGTTACCAAAGAAGAAGAGTAGAACAAAGTGAAAGTAGTGAAGAAGTAACTTCATCTAGTGAAAGTAGTGGCAATGAAGGAAAAAGAAGAGTTAAAAACTCAGCCAGGAAGAAAGTAAAGCTTGGTCCACGTGGGTTCTATTATGACATATAAATTCAACTATTCTATATTTTTACCCATATGAAATGTACGCCGCTCAGAATATAACGCCAACAGTTTTGGATGCCATGAACGGAAATGTTTCCGAATGGTATAACGAATGCGACAATGCCATTAGAAGGTCAGAAATAGTTCCTGGAACTTACGAATATACAACTGCTGTTTCTTATGGAAACGTAGGTGAGTTTGGAGAAGGTTCTTCAACAACAGTAGATATTGCTTGCGACAGGTTTCATATAATTTCTATTGACAACTCATTCTTATACGTGGAACAAGACATTGAAATAAAACCTTCTGCCAAGTTGTCTGACAAGAAAGGTTGCAATGGAATTTTCTATGTCGGATACCAATATGCTCCAGAAGTTTTCATGGGATATAAGATATATTCTAACTCTGACTTAGTTCAAACAGTAACATGGGCAAACTATGAATGGTTCGCTTTGAGAAACTCAGTACAACCACAAGCTAGAGAACAAACAGACCAGTATGCAACTATTGAGAAAATAAGAAGACTTGACCCTAACGTTCCAGGAGTTTATGTTAACCTTTCTGGACAAACTGCAGCAGCAGTAACCAAAGTAAAACTGAAACTTAGAGTTCCTTTGTCATCTTTCCTCATCTTCAGGTTTTTAAGATACTTGCCAAACTGGGCAGGAAAAATTTCTATTGAACTTACTCCAAGCAAAAATAACTTAGTCATTGCACCAACACAAGACCCATTCACTATTACAGACGTAGAGGGAACAAATAAAACGTCATTCGCCGAATTTTGCAAAGACAAAGTTGACTTAGACTTTGGTTTCTCAAACCTCAACACTGAAGTAAACTATTATTTCAATGCTGCTGGAACTGCTTGGGACCCAGTTAAGTTCACATGCGAAAAATTTGAATGCAAGAGAATAGAAAGCAGACTTGCAGTCTATATGTTGGACCCAGATATTTCAAATGCTTTAGCTGCCAAATATATTGCAGTTCCACTTATGTTCCCTATACACCAAATATCTGTCAAAGACTTTGCAGGTGAAGTTGGAAACCAAAGTGCTGACCCAGGTGCAAGAACAGATATTGCTTTAACAACTGCAATGAAACATGCAGATACTATGTTTGTACTGTTCAGACGAACTATAAATGACTATTCTTGTTTCTACAACCCTGGTATTAAATATCATATAAACATAGATGGCAAATATTATCCAAGAGAAGAATATTCTACAGTTGAAGATATGAGGTCATACAACTTGACATTAGATGCTATGAACTTTAACAACAACTTCACAACAACCATTAACCCTGAAATGCAAAGTTCTATTATGCCATATGTGAAAGTATGGACTCATACAGGAGGTCAAAAAACTCAATATACAAATGGAGACCGTTCAAACTTTTGGCTTGGCATTCCATTTGCTGACTCAGAAGACTTTATGGGTGGTATTTCAACTGTTGGTACAGTTCAAATACAATATACTGGTGACAGAGACGGTCCAGATGAACTGAGAGCAAAGAAGTTTACAAAACCAATAGCACTTTTCACGGAAGATGCTCTTTTGAAGATTCGTTCGATGAAACCTGCTGGGGCTCCTCAGATTGGCATAACGACAGCTTCCATCGAGCAGATTTTGGCAGCAGGTCAGTAAGTTGTTCTTGAACTGACTTCTCTCCGTCAAATATTGACAGTACGCCAGTTTTGACATAAAATTGTATTATAAACTTACCTTTAGAAATATCTGTAAGTTTTGTTGTTATATTTTTGTCTGCTTCAAGAACTTTCACCATTTCGGTTATACCAACTTTCTTTGCTTTATGAAAATATTTTGGTTCAGCAAAGACTGCTATTCTATAACATTTACCATTGTTTGTATAAAGAACTATTCTGTCGATGTATTTGTATTGTTTGTGTGTGTAAACTTTGTTCTGCTTCAATTCGAAGAGATATCCGAATACGTCCATCTTTTTATTCTAAGTAAAATGTCATTTCCGAAAAATAGAAGCGTGAGTGTTTCAAAAGGTTTAATGGCGGTGGCAGATGTGAAGTTAAATTCACCAACTCAAACAAACAGTCAAAGTGTTATTGTCAATGTCAAAGAAAGAGATGTTGAAGTGGGAAACCATACGAAGACGAAGATGGTATAACAATTGTTCCTGTAAAAGAACAACAACATACCCTGAAGTTAGCAGAGACTTAAGTTCTGTTGCAGATATTCGAAATGACTACCAACAACTGAAAGACAAACTTCAAACTCAGGAGAAGATTTGTCAAGCTTTAGTATAATGTTAAACTTGGTCGAACACAACCCTGTAAAAGTGAACTCATATGTCATTGCACCTCATGAAGTTTTTGAAAGAACTATTGAAACTTTTGACAGAGGCAGACGATATAAACATCAAAGAAATAGAACCCGACATTAGTTGCTGTGGTGTTTCATATAATGTCATTGACAAGATATACGTTATGAAAGGAGGTGAAACGTTGAACTTAAAATATAGTTTCCCAGACGTTATAAAAATATTTGACGACCACAACATTTCATTAAAATTTATTTGCTAAGTAAATGGCAGAAGACATAGTGGTTTATACTATTACGACTAAAAACCCTGAGTCATATAATTCTATAACAACAAACTTACAAAGTCCTCAAGGACGATATTGTAAACTAACTTTAAACACAATGACGACTAAAGCTTGTTTTGCTCTTTTGACACCAGAAGATTTTATTGTTGTGAATGGTAAAAAATACTCCTTTGAAGATACTTACTCAGATATACCACCAACAGGTTTTGTTGACTTATTTAATACTTTAATACGAGTGTAACATGTGCTGCAAACTAGAGCAGGTTTCATTATGTTTGGATGTCCGACTGAGTTTACTATAAACAATATGAGCTATAATACAAAACTTATATCTGGTTTTTACTACCAACAGTTTCCTATAACAGGAAAAGGTGTCATACAAGGAATGTCTGTTCCATTGACTTTAAGTACACCTATTTATATATTGTTTCAAACTTAGGTTCAAAGTGTTATTCGAATGTCGACAGAAACTACTATGACCAAAAGATACTTATGCGTATAAACAACACTTCTCTGCTGGTTTGCCTATTGTTCATTCGAATGCAGAGTTTTCAACCTTAGTGAAACTCAAACACTTTGGCAAGTATAACGTTGACATTAGTTGACGCAAACTTTGTTCCTGTAAAACTTTTATGTCCTATGTATTTGTCAATGACGGCAGAAAGTTTCGAATTGGAAGATGCAACTGGTGAAAGTATTGTATTACAAGAACAACTTCAACAACAAATAGCTCAAGAACAACAAATGCAACAAATAGCTCAAGAAATAAAAAAAATATTTTTTTTATTTTTATAAAAATGTACAGAATAGATGTTTCAGATTTTTATGACTTCCAAGCATTCAGAAATATGTGTCCATTTCGAGACTATAACAAAGCAGTCGAGAATTTGAAACGTTTAGTCATTTATGTCGACTCTGCCCCAGAATGTTATGTTATGAAAGAATGGGATGTAGTCTTTAACAAACCAAGAGCAACAATAGTTTCAGAACAAGAATGTAACAGAAACTTAAGAAAATAAAAGTTGTACAAGTTGGCATGAAGATGTTAGATCTTGGATATCTTATTGTCAAAGTTAGAAGATTTTTCAGTTCGAGGTATAAAGTTTTATACACCTTCTCCAAACTTCTATTCTATCTTCACTGGATATAAATACGAACAAGTAGAATGGAAAGAAAATGTTATAGAAGCTTGGTTAGACCATGTCAAAGAAATTATATGCAATGGAAACGAAAAGGTTTATGAGTATATCTTATGTTGGTTTGCAAAACATCTTACAACATCCAAGTGCTAAAAATGAAACTGCTCTCATTATAATTGGAAAACAAGGAACAGGTAAGAACACTTTCTTTACAGATATCTTATGCAAACTGTTAGAGGGTTATTCGAATCCGAATATGACAAACTTAGAAAACATCTGTGGCAAGTTTAACTCTTCAATAGAGAATATGAAACTTATAGTTTGCAATGAACTTCAAAGTATAGATACAACAAAAGTTTTGAACTCAGATGCTTTGAAGAGTCTTATAACAGACAAAGTTGGAGTTGTTGAAAGAAAATATAAAGACCAAAGAGTTTGTGAAAATGTTGCAAACTTCGTTATGGTTTCAAACAATGCTGTTCCGATGAAGTTAGAAAGTTCTGACAGAAGATATGTAGTTGTCAGAACGTCAGAAGCTCATATGCAAGATACAGAATATTTTGACGACTTAGCAGAAACTTTGACATCTGACTTTTACAACCACTTGTTCTCATATTTTCATGACATTAGATATTTCAAAGTTCAATCCAAGACAAATTCCACATACCGAAGAGAGACAAACATTGTTAGAAGCAAACAAGAGTGTATATGAACTGTTCATAGATGAAACTGACTTTGAGTGTTTAGATGAAAGGTCATTGTACGATTCGTATAAACAATATTGTCAAGAGTATGGTTATATGACAGCGTCTAAACGAACATTCTTGGCAAATGTCAAAAGTCTTTTAGACGTACAGAATGGTGTATATACAAAGAAAAATTTTTCTGAGTAAATTTTAAAAAAAAATATTTTTTTATCCGATAGAAAAGATGACAAAATTCATCTCAGTAAACAAGTACATGTCAGGACTTAAAGAAGAACTAGACCCATTCACATATTTGAATGTTTACTTCTACCATTTTGAAAAGTCTTCATTCAGCAAAGTTTGGAACATCGAACCAGTTAAGTTTGCTATTGTGACTAAAAATGGTGCGAAATTTGAAGACTTAGACATAGAAGGTTTGTTAGCAGTCAAAGAAAGTTTTGACAGAAGGTTCTCAAAACTCGAAGAAGGTAAAGCATACAAACTTGTTATACCTTATGAACCAAAGAAAGCAGACGACTATGAATATTATGAGTCTAAAGTTGTAGAAGTTCAAGGTAAATTGGGTAAAAAAGATTTTAGAGTCTAAGCCAGTGTTTACTCCTAAAGAGGAAGAGAACATTGACATTGACACCAGAAATGTTCTAAAAATAAATTTTATTTTTACATGTCAAATTTCTTCTTCTCTGGCTCAGGTTTCTTTCTTCTCTTCTTCTACTTTCTTTTCTTTCTTTTCTCTCTTCTTCTTTTTCTGGTGGAGTTATGTCAAACTTCTCAGAACCATATTTTGTAAAAGTTCTTTGTCCTTTAATAGCTCTTCTATTCTGTTTTCTATTTCATCTTCAAGAACAGTGCATGTGTCTTCTTTGCATTCTAAGAAGTTTTGTTGGACTTCATCTCTCCAAGAGGCGTCATCTCTGTCAACAAGTCTGTCATTGACAAATTTTAAGACTTCTCTGCTTAATGTTTTATGGTTCTTGTCATATTCCCAGAAACAGAACTTTAGAACAAATTCACCTTTTCTTGTTTACACTATGTAAGATTTTATGGTCGACAGATGTTTTGCTGTCGAAAAGCTTGTCTCGAATATAGATAGCGAAATCGCTAGACATTTTCTAAAAGATAAAAATTT